GTTATTGTATATCAGAACAGCGACTATAGATTGGCAAATATAACATTGACAGAACTTGTTTTCAACAAAGGCCGCATTTTGTTTCCGACTGTAAACGTCGAAAATCAGGGCAGATAGATTAAAAGAACCAGACATATTTACAAATATTTGTTCAAAGAATTCTTTGGAATATAAAATTTTATATTAAATCTTGCATGCTCACCCTTTCGATGAGTCCGAGGTAGACGAATTCAGTATTCTTGATACGGTTTGCAGGAAGGTCTTCCACAGCTTTGCTACTGAGCTCACACAAGCCTTTATTTTCTCCCCTGACCTTGAAGTTCGCAGAAGCACACGACATCTGCCTCGTACAGTGAATACCACATTCAATCTCGGAATCTGCGCGCTCCGCACTTATAACATAACCGTCAAAATAGCTGTCTGCACGTCTGTTGAATAAGACTTCTTCAGAGCAGCTTACAGGCTTTAACAAAACAAAACAAAAAGAAAATATCGCCCATCTAATGTAACCGTTTGCCATTATTCATGCATATAAATTCACTGATAAAACCAAACACGATTTTGATTTCAAGATGCTATCTGCCCTTGTGGCACGCATGCAACAGTATATTGACAACTATATACATCTGCAATCTTTCTTTAATAAATATTTTATATTATTTAATTGTTTATATACACGATAGTTTAAGTAATTAAAATTCTGAACTTTATATTGGTTTTAATTGCATGATTGATATCTATAGCTATAGACCGTGATGAACAAAATATACGTACTTCATGCTTGACAGTTACGCTGAAATTATTTTACGAGTGTAGTCATAGACTTTAACATACTTGACTATAGAAATCACCGCAGTTTCGGAACTTGAAATCGCGTTCATGCGGTTATATACCATATATAGAATTAAGATTAGGTTTAACCCTAATCCTATATAAATGTAACTAATACTTATCTCAAGGATTAAATTCGTGTCTTAAGTATCCCGCTGCAGCTGCAGGTACGATATTCATCATAATTATTGACGTGATACTCGTGCATGATATTTTGTAATGACGCCATAGACTCGCCCATCTGACTATAGGGCGTTTTGAAAAAACTTCGACCGTGGCTATGATTGTGTATTTTTTGAAATGGTAAGCGTAGATTAAGCGTATTAAGCGTAGATTAAGCGTAGATTAAGAAATATTTAAATAGGAAACACGACAAACACAGGAGAACATTTTAACGATATATATATTTCAAAATATTTAGCCGGATGAATATACATTGGATATAATATAGTTTGCAAAGAGGAAAACGGGTCAGAGCAGTGCATATGTTCTAACAACAATGCTAATCCCGCTACCAATGTTCTTCATTGGAAAAAAATCCTAAAATAAACATCATAACTTAGTTCATAAGCAACAACACAGGTAGCAGAGGTATATGTTACAAGATTTGAGTTTAGCGGAAAAAAATTAGAGTATTATGTGGCAGCCATTTGGCAGCATTTAAATTTGTTAATATCGCCCAGATTATAACCATTTCCACGATAGAGTCCAGTGATATAATACCCGGACTGAGAACAGTTTGACCATCCCTTTTGTTCAAATGATGTTCCAACATCTTCGTCATAACAAGTCCCGTACCACTCAGGATGGTCAGTGGGCTTGCAGCATCGACCGTTCGCGATATCGTATACGCTTTGACCGCGCTTTAACCCGTTCAGAAAGTAACCATCTGCGCACGTATACCACGAGTTTCGCCTGCATAAATACAGTATCAACCATTAGCAGAATGTATTAAATAACTGGTTAACTTGCCTTCACAATATGAGCTAAGCACAGTGTATGTTGGAAATGCTTACATGCAGTACTGTCCAGAAATAACGTAACAAAAACCGCGGTTAATCTAGGTTAAACCTCGGTCTGACAGACATTTCTTAAGATGTTTTTGATTTGATTATTATGTTATCGTTCTCAGCAGTTCATACCATTCCGTTCGGAAGCGAACGGCAACCGCGATCGTATTTTTCCCCTTGTGTCCGGTCGTCTGCGGTTTCTACCGACCGCAACTAAACCGCAACCTAACCACGACCGAACCGCAACCGCAGTGTTAGATTATTTATGGACAGTAATCACATTGAAGCTAACTTTAAAAAGATCTTACATAGTTTCATTGAGCACAGTAAACTCTCTACAGTCGCCACGCTGACCACTGTACGCTGGTGTCGAATTACAGCATCGTGCGTGTTCCAGAAAAGATAACGGTTCTACTCCGCCAGGGGCGATTCGATAAAATCCTGTGATAAAAAGATTTTTCTCGCCACATTTTGACCATCCCTTTCCGTTGAAACCATTCTTCCAGTTTGCAATGAAGCATGTCATGGGAGTCGCTGAAAGTTGATGTTGTATTGTTAAAATACTGAGCGCGGTAAGCTTTTCTACAGATTTCCTAAACCTTCTTCATCATTTATATTTAGCAGATTGAAGTGTGCGCGGAGTAGTATATGAAGGTCGATAAAACTTATAACTTGGATAAAATAAGCCTTACTTTTTGTGTTTTCTTCAGTCACAGGGCCTGGTGAAGCAGGATTTGAGGTTTTCTATAAAAAAGTAAAGAAGTAAAGACCTTAATTATTAGTTAATGCGCTATTGAGGGACGGGTTTTTAAAGGCCAATCTACACGATGCGATTAGTCGTATACGATTCTTATCCTGGCGTATGAAAAAGATTGTTAACGCCACTCTGTCTGTTCATCAGTTTATATAACGAAGTTTCAAATATGACATATTTACACGCATGACCTATACTTTTGCGATACCAGTGCTCATGCCAGCACTGTGTTACGGAGATTACTGAGGTTGATTTTAGTGAGACAACCATGCAATCATCTTTATCGGTTGCTTTTTAGTTTTTCATATTTTTTTCATAACTCGTATTTACCTTAATCTCTTTGAACGCGATCCAATATCGTCGCTTTATTATAGTCTGTATATATTAATATTTCTTGTTGATAGTTTTTATTAAGTTTGTTTAATTTTAAACTGAATTGTCTAGATTTATACTCTATACTGGAAAACGCGAGCAGCCGTTTTAATGCATGTTCACGACAACCAAACGAAAAGGTATTTGTAAAAATATTTCATGTATTGCAAGCGATGCATGTGTATGGTCACTTTGATAAATTCATGTCGTAGCTATATAGTCAATATATATAAGAGAGAATTCATTGCTTTACCTTTTGTACGTACTTCATTAATTAATTTCTTGATAACTGTTTTAATTTACTGTAGGTGCATGGAATTTATTTTCTTGGAGCATGGATTGTTAGATTAAGGGCAACGCATTTTTAAAAACACATTTATGTTAACATGAATTCATGATCAGTTTGAATATAAATATATAGATTATAATCGCGGTATTTCCAATATAATCACAGTTCTCCGCTTAAACATGGGTCATAACTTGGCAAATAACAGAATTTATCTGAAAAGTATCTGCACCGACATTTTTCATCTTTGTGTATATAAAATGCTGAAGATGGATTTCCTGTAGGAAACCACAAATATACTTGTATAAACGACTCTTTAATATAAATTCTATATTGAAACCTCACCTTATTTATGACTTCCATGTAGACAAAATCGACATTTTCGATTTGATTTCCAGGAAAGCCTTTCACCGCTTGGCTACTGAGCTCACACAAGCCTTTATTTTCTCCCCTGACCTTGAAGTTCGCAGAAGCACACGAGGTGTGTCTCGTGCAGTAAATTCCACATTCAATCTCGGTATCTGCGCGCTCCGCTCGCATAACAAAGCCGTTAAAATAGATGTCTGCACGTCTATGAAATAAGACTTGTTCAGAGCAGCTTACCAGCTTCACCCAAACAAAAAAAAGAGAAAATATGGCCCATCTGGTGCAATTTTTTGCCATGTTTCGTATGAATTCAGATACCGAACAACTGAACACTCTATTAATATCACAAATGCTATCCCTGTATCGCACGTCGCCTTGTATTATATTCACCTGCTTTATTGAATAATATCATATGTAAACTATAATATAGTTGTTTTTGTATGCTGATTTTGATAACAATAACGTCTATGATAAAGTATGAATAGTATAGGTAATAGTATAATTTCGAGTGCAATTACGGATTAACAAGCACAAGTGAGATTTTAAAGGCTGGAAATAGCGCAAGTCCGAACGACGAGTGGTATTTGCAGTCTTTAAAAACTCACGAGTGCATGTTTATCCGTAATTACACGAGAAATTATACTATTACGTATGAATGATATGCAAGGAAATCTTCGAGACAATAAATTAATGACCTCATCCATCATAAAATTTTGTTCTTGAACATTTTTTTTCAAAATTCAAATTTTAACAGTTCGTCTGTCCATTGCTATTATTAAACGTAGTAGTAATTGATTGGTTTCACACGTTCTATGCGGCTTTAGGGCGCGTCCTTTTTTCTAGCGCATATTAGCGACCGTGTAATCTGCATGTTCGGAACAATGCACAGGGTTCAATTCTATTCAAGAGTTTTAGTTCATGTGCTTTTGAGCCACCGTTTGTTGTAAAACGTTTAGAAAATATGACTTCTTGAAATTATTTATGAAAAATTTATTATGAACTTTGCAAACAAGAGGTTAAAAAATTAATGTAAAGATTTGCTTTAATCCGGGGTTAAGCCGTTAACCGGCTTTTGAACAACCGGCCCCTGCTGAATGACATGCATGCTCATCTACTTCAAGAATTAACTATACGTGATCTGTAGACATTCTCACCTAGGCGTGATTAAAAGTGTATGCTAAACTTAGTAAAATTTGTAAGTTTTGGATGCGAAATTAGTATTGTTAATATACCGAAAATATAACCAAGCGAAGTTGGGGAATTTTTTATACTTTTAATTGTATTACGACCGGAAGTGTGTGAATAAATTAGTTACACTTATCCGCCCATAAGACAAAAGTATACAAACATTGCTTACTTTGCCAGGCTATATTTTCCCTACTACTTGATATTTTGTAGCCAAACCTGACAATTATACTAATTCCAGTATGCCCTTTTTAGCTGTGGTGATTTCTTTCCTTCTTGTTAGGCTGAAGTTTTCGAGCGAACGAAAAGTTTCCCTCGATATTCTTTTTAATTTTGACTGCTAGGGTCGAATTTACTCCATTTAGAAAGGAAATCAGGCGAAAAATTTGTATGTATATAAAAATTCCTATTAGTGGGAGCGATTCTATAAGATGTTTCGTGCGGGACTAATGTACAAGTATAAATCCAAATGCTGGTGTGTTTTTGTTTTCCATCCGATCACAAACAGCCATATTACCGCATGTTGTGCTTCTTATATCATCACCACATCGAGCTGAAGTACCAAAACCAATACACGAGTCACAACTATCGCAGTGGTTTTGATTATTTCCTACAATGCCAATCCGTACACGCACAAAATGCAAAGATGCATAATACTTGTCTGCATTGATTCCTTCTTGGTTACAATTAGGCTGCAAAGCTGAACCATCGATAAGAGATTCCCATGCACCCCTCCCGACACTTGTGCTTTTAAAACTTCCATCTCCGATCACGTTGTATAACGAACTTGCGGCGTAATCCAGCGTTATCCATTTTGTCTCACTACTGACTCTCATTCCGAGGCAAATCTTGTTGAACGGTGTGTTCCAGTAGGAAGCCAGTTTTGTTTGTTTTTGTGTCAAGCCTTCAAGACCATCTTCGACTTCGTAGGCTACCTTGTTGGTCCAGTGTAGAGAGCCATAGTTGAAATCGTTCTGAAAATATCAAACGGTTCTCTATATCAATACAGCAAAATATTAAACATTTTTTTATGTAAATAAATCATCCATGTCTGCCCTCTGTTGTTTTGTTTGGTTATTCTAAAGGTTATCATAACCTTTTTGCCATCAATTTTCATCACTAGGGTCCAGCCTCCTCCTCCACACCCAGATATTGCATCCATGTGACAATAAACATCATATTGCTCGAGCGAGACGTTATTTTGTAACTTGTAAACACCATTAGGGAGAGCACTAGATAAAAAAGAGATCAAGTATGAGTGATTGTGTCCAGTAGGAGCACGTGCATTCAGTTTTTGGGCAATTTGAGAGCTGGACGTTTGGTCGAAATGTCAATATCTTTTTGGAAGCGTAGAAATTTTTCTTTCTTCCGACCCATTCCACTCGTTTTCTTGAAGTGAAACGTGTATGGATTAAAAAGCGAAAATCTATATATTGCACTGATGAAGGCCCGGGTTAACAGACCGAAGGCTTTGCAGTATTAAATACTTACGTGGTGTACCTAGAAGCTAATTTACTCATTGATATCACAATGCAAACATACAAGAATATGATTAATCAAAACCTAATTTGTTTAATTTACTAAAACTCACTTCAATTTATCGTGATTATCATTTGGTCCATATATTTTAAAATAAAAAAGTCAAACGTTTGTGAATAAATGTTTAGAAAAACAAATCAAATATACGCTCTAATTCGTTCGCTCGAACTTAAAATATAGGATTTCGGAGAGTAGTCAGATATCGTAAAATCTCGCCCGCTGTTACAGCCAATCAGATTGCAGGAAAAGCTAGGATTCCACCCGCTGCTGATTTATAAAAAAGTGAAAAACAGTTTTCACCAGTGCAATATAAACATGTCTTTCAATATTAATATTGACAATTACTTTTATTATGGTACCTGTTCCTGTTCAATAGATCTTTACAAGACGATAACGGTTTCTCATCTATAAAAACGGGACACATAATTTGATTGAGAGTTGAAGCTCTGAAATAAGGATGGGAAGGTTTATCGACTTAAAAAGCATGCCTGTACTGTCAATTTCATTATTTGAACGACACTATTTCTACTTGCAATGCATTGATATTTAGTAAGACATAACAGTATAAGTTCTCTCAAATACTCCTTGAAATTATCTACTATATTTGGCATAAGCTGCGGAATTACCTATTGATGGTTTTTGTGTAGTCTGATCGGGAGGTTTCTAAAAGTAAAGAAAGAAAAATGATTTCATTATTAGTAATCCAAGGTTTCTTTTGTGTGATCTCTTTCCATCTAACTGCTTACGTTGAGTAAAAGGTAGTAATCAAAATGATCATCTTTGGTGAAATTTTTTTCCATTGTTTCGGAATCATCCCTAAGTAACTCGCAATTATTCTTTCTATCCCAACTTGGAGTTTTCCTGAAGTTCACTGATCTGCATCCGTCTTGTTTCCAACATTCAAAGGCGCATTCTGGCCCTGTGAGGGCAGCCACGTAGCGAATAACAACACTGTTGAAGCGATACCCTTTAAAAGTAAAGAAATGCTGCTTTTTAAAAATACAACAAAAATCAAATGTTGTGTATACTTGCATTATATTCCACAATTGAGGGAGGTCGGGAGTCGAGGGAGGGCGGGATCTGTGTTGATATTAACAATTATTCGTCGTTTTCGTATTCGAAGAAATTCGTCGTTTGCTTTCAGGTACAGTGTTTTTGTTTTAAATAACGTATTTCTTCATTTCTTTACTTTGAAATAAACAACTCGCCGCCATTTTGAAAAATCTGCATGCTAAGGTGATTATCGCGTAATAATCCGAGGTCGCTCGACCAATCAGAGGCTGGAATTTTAAATAATCTCCTCTGTAATTTTACCAATAAGATACATTATATGTGCATCCTTTTATCTTTTTCGTTTCACTCTTTTTTCATCGCCATCCCCCTTGTGGAAACCCGGATTGTATTGATGTTACCCTCTCAGGGTTCCCATGCATGCATGCATGCACATACATACAGAATATAAATTAATAAGGCAGACATCAAAGAATTGGTGGCCCTTTGATGTCTTTCTTTCAAACCGAAGGAATTTATTCAGCAATCTGACTGAAGCTTTGTTTCTCTAGATTTTAAAAAAGCACAGTTAAGTGAGACGTGGCGTTGATTGCTTGGCATGCACGGTATTAACAAGTTCTTGAAGTCCTAGATTTTAAAAAAGCACAGTTAAGTGAGACGTGGCGTTGATTGCTTGGCATGCGCGGTATTAACAAGTTCTTGAAGTCCTTCCTAGAATTTTTTCCCCGCATCTGTCTTTCGTGGCGTTCAACGTTTGTTTGCCGCCCAGACACGCAATAAATAATAGAATATGCAACCTTGTAGACGCCTGTGTTTTATCAGTATATCATTTAAGGCCCGTTTGCGATTTGTCGATTTATACTATTCTTACCCAGGCGTATGTGAACGTGTGAATACACGTGCAAACGCGACACTTTAAATTTCATCCTCAACTGTCGATATGAATGAAGATTATGGCATACTAGAGGCCTTATTTTGCATTCGTCAGAATGATAATTGCACACAACTCATTGTGTAGTCTAAATTGGCCTTTACATTGGCTGAGAAAAAGTCACATTAAACATATTAGCTATTTTGGCGACTCTCTTTTTCCCGTTATTCTACATTCTTCATGAAAGCATATGCAATTTTAAACCTACCTTCTTTCGATGCATCGAAGCAGAAATCGTGCCCATGGCCAAATATTTGAAGATTTAGGAAGATCAGCAACACAAGACTGAATCTCGAAGAGAGAAAAGCCAAGCACACAGCTTGCAAAGTTGACAGAAACTTACATTGCCGTTTGAAAATTTCTTTTGCCTTTCTCCAATAAGAGCGCAGCATATTTGAGAAGACGACGTGTATATATTTTCAGCCAATATCCAGGTTTTAGCCGAGTGTAATATAGTTTTCTAAAACACGTTTTGAGGTTTTTAGTATATATTAGTCCTGTGCGATAAAGGTACACTGCATGCATCCGTGATGTATTTGACGCTATATAGAACGGTAATCCAGTTTCACCTGTTCACACTGCATGTAAAATGTAATAACTTTTAATCAAATGCTGATTTAAATACACATAACCCCAGGAAATAATATTAAGAAATTACTTCTGACTTTTAATTATTTTTTGTAAAGTTGTACTAAGCTAAGATGTACTAATATACATACACATATACATGTATCATCATAATATTACAATGTTTATCATATTATCAGCATGGAGTATACGATTCAAAATGTTTTAAATTGTTGAAAGAGGATCGCAATTCTTAACTTTCAGTTAGGCGGACGGGTGATAAAAAGGTTTGAGCAAAATACAATATAAATTATGCACAATTGCAAATTATTAATATCGCGCCAGCGGTTCGCGTTTGACACTGCACAGTAGGGTTTACTATTATAAAGTATAAACAGATCTTATTTTAATAAATTTCATCAATTTTACTCATAACAGGCGCGGATATTAAAAATGACTAAAATTTACCGACATTTAACGTGTTACCATTTAAAATTTTTAAAAATAAGATAAAAATATAGGTAAAAATATTGCCGCTCAAATTCTGTATAGCAATGGACAGGCTAATAAAGATATAAAAAATCTTTCAACCAGAAGGCATTAGCATCATCACCATCGCTTCTTAACCAATAAAGATACTGTGACTAACGAATTTGGTGTTGTGTCAAATTTCATGAAACACAACAAGAGTTTCACTGACGATTATTATAGCGTTTAACTACTTCGCTGACGGTAGTTTGATTGCCCGTCGCTGTGCGTTAATTGTCAGCATTTTTTTCCACCAGGCGAATTTATTCTTGCAAACAGATAAAAAGTAGGAAGCGATTGCACTTTTCGCGGCGAATTTTTTCGCAAACCACATCACCAGATTTTAGATATATCGCTTCGTGTCGCGCAAATAAATTCGACTAATGGAAAACGGAATCAAGCCGTTTTTCACCAGCGTTAATGACCGCGCGAAGCAACAGAACTAATTTGAGGATATATATTTACTTATTTATTGTTATTTCCTGCATGTAAATCAGTGCATGGTTGAAGAAAGCACGGACGTAACAGGTTAGGTTTGACATGTTGAATAGTTTTGTGTGCCAATTATAGATCTAATGCTGAGCTAATGTACAAGTATAAATCCGAATGCGGCTATGTTTATGTTGTTGACCTGATCACAAATACCCATATTACCGCATGTTGTGCTTCTTATATCACCGAGACATCGAGCTGAAGTACCAAAACCAAGACACGAGTCACAAGAATTGCAGTGGTTTTCATTATTTGCAACAATACCAATCCGTACAGGAATATAATACACGGTAAGAGGTATCAATTCCAGATTAAATCCCTCTCTGTTGCAGTTATTCTGCAAAGCTGAACCATGGATAAGAGATTTCCATGCTTGCTTCCCGACACTTGTGCTTTTAAAACTTCCATCTCCGATCACGTTGTATAGCGAACTTGCGGCGTAGTTCAGCACTATCCATCTTGTCTGACCATCGACTTTCATTCCGAGGCAAATTTTATCGAACGGTGTGTTCCAGTAGGAAGCCAGCTTTGTTTGTTTTTCTGTCAAGCCTTCAAGACCATCTTCGACTTCGTAGGCTGCCTTGTTGGTCCAGTATGGAGAGTTATAGTTGAAATCGCTCTAAAAATATCAAATGGTTATTTCTTTGTGTTACACAATTGTCTGTCTCATATGCCCTCGCTGTTTTCTGTATTGTTGTAAGGATTAGTTTGCGCGCGTTGTTTCCGTGTTGTTCTAAATATTGTAATCACCTTTTTGCCATCAACTTTCATCACTAGAGTCCAGCCTCCTTCTCCACACCCAGATATTGCATCCATGTGACAATAAACTTCGTATTGCTCGAGCGATACATTATTTTTTAATGTGTAAACACCATTGGTTAGTGAACTAGATAATAAAGCGATCAGAGATGGATGTGTTGTAAGATGCATGTGCAGGAGGGTTTAGGCATAATCTCAACATCTTTTCTAGAAGCAAGGACGTAATTTTCGGAATTTTCACCTTCCAACGCTGGTCACATTCGGCAAATTTTCTCCCAGTACACATGGCTCAGTTTTCCAGCAGTTTTCATACCGAAAACTAAAAGCTTTTCGATGTACGTACTGCTCTCAATTTTATCTAAGTTGTCCGCTGACAATATGAGCCTGCACAAGTGGAAGAAATTTTGCGAATTTGACTAAGTGAGAGAGCTTATTAATAAATGGTGCTGTAAATGCCATTCAATAGTTTACACACATGCTTTTTAATGGTAGCAATTGTACCTGTTCCTCTCCAGTAGTTCTTTACAAGACGATAACAACTTTTTAACTACAAAACGGGACACGCGCAATAAAATAGATATATAATTATTAGGAACAATCGGCTGATTAGCAATTTGCGTAACTGTAAACGTCAAAGATGAAACTTAGTTTCCGAATTATTAAAGGTTAAATTCCTTTCATACCTGTTGTTGGCTTTTGTGTAGTCTTACCTGGAGGTTTCTAAAAGTTAATAGGGAATAAATTAGCTTTAAGAAAAATTATCAATTCCGCGTTTTAATTGTGTAACTATTAATATTAACCACTAATAGTATAGATATAATAGTGGCAGATGTCTTAAGGGTAATTTCCTCAAGTGAGGTGATTTATCATGAAAACACCCAAAATAGTATATCGGGAAAAATTGTTTTTCAATGGAATAAAACGACTTAAAATTTCACTTATCAATTTTAAATACACATACGTTCAGTAAAACGTAATGATCAAAGTTATCATCCCTGGTGAAATTTTTAACACCAGCTTTCAAATCATCCCTAAGTAACTCGCAGTTCTCCTTTCCATCACAACTTGGAGTTTTCCTGAAGTTCACTGATCTGCATCCGTCTTGTTTCCAACATTCAAAGGCGCATTCTGGCCCTGTGAGGGCAGCCACGTAGCGGATAACAGTACTGTGTGAGCGATACCCTTTAAAAGCAAGAAAAAACGAACATCATTAATAATTTTTGACAAATAGCGATATCACAGTCTAAATCTGTATCAAAATGTGTATTGATATAAGCATTAATAATAACGCTCTTTTTTAAGAATGAAACGAAAGTCAACCCTGCATGAGATCCATTGCGATCTTTAAATTGTATATAATCATTATAATTATTTATTTAAAAGAATTCACAGCCTCTGATTGGCTAATAGCCCTGTGTGAAATCGTCATGTCCAACGTGTGACATCATAACGTGTGATACGACTTTTTTCTTGCACGTTTCTACGTCATAACGTGTCATAAATAATCGTATTCCACGTTATGAGGTCACACCAATGACGAAGACATCAACGTCCCAAAGGAACGGGAATGCGAAATCGACACAAGTTCAAGCGAACAATTCAAAGTTGTAATATTCATTCTTTTAAATAAATAATAAAGCAATTATTGAATTCGGTTTTCACATGATATGAAGAATTATCAAGCGTATGTTTGTCATTATCACGCGACCTCAGCCTTCAGCTTTGGTTTTCATAACCACAAACGTCGGCTTGATAATTCTTCATATCATGTTCAACCTCATTCAATAATTGTTAATTCTCTCGGGGTTTCTATATATTCAATATTCTGCAAATAAATAGGCCAAACATTATCATTGGCGGTCCTTTGAATCAATTCGTTCTTTCAAGCAAAGAAAATTTAGGTTATGATAATAATAATTGACCTATTTTTTCAGTAATCTGGCAGCCCTGGTATCTCTGGATCTATAAGATCTAAAAGAAGTTCAATTGAAAGTTTGTAGGATTCGTTGCCCGCTTATATACGCGCTTATAAAAAAAATGAGTAAAAGCTTAAAGTTTATATAACTTATTGAAGTAAAGAGAGAATGTGTTGAAGCCCTTCCTTGAGACACTCAATTCTTTTGCAGTATATCACTTTAACTCGACAAAGAATGATTCATTAGTTTCGCGACCCTATTTTGTAAGGTTCGAACAATTAATTTTTGACCTTCATTTATACGCAAATACAATTTAAAGCATATAATTATACCTTCTTTCGACGCATCGAAGCAGAAGTCGTGCCCATAACCAAATGTTTGAAGATTTAGGAAGATCAGCAACAAAAGACTGAATCTTAAAGAAACAGAAACTAAACATCCAGCTTGCAATGTCGATAAAAAATTACATAACTGATGGGATATTTCTTTCGTCGTTTCCGGTTGAGAGCACGGCATATCGGTACAATGTATAGCTATATATATAATTACATAATCGTGTATTCCTGTTCGAAGAGTCCACGTAGACTGAATGATATGAGTCGCTATCACGCTGAAATTAAAATCTAAGTTCACTTGTTCATGCGCGGTATGGAATATAATTTGCTTGATATGCTAGGTAAAGTTATATCATTAAAAATTTGTAATTACATGAAACTTATATGTATTTATAAATTAAAAATTTAATTTCATCACAGCTATTTCCAAGTCGCAATATAGCTTTAATGCATATAGATATAATAGCTCTTAATGGAATATAATAGCTTGACATGTTAGGTGAAGTTCGCTATAGCCTATTTTATTAAAAATTCAAGTTTATAATTACGTATAATTTATATGTACTTATAAATTCAATTTCAAATTTCATCACGGCTATTTCGGGATATAACTGTAGTGCACTCCCACCGTTGCAATTTTTTTGGAGTACTCAGTCAATAATTGATAGTTTCAGATAGGTAGGCAGGTGATAATCAAGTATTGTAATAAAATATATCATATGTGAATAACCACAGTAATTTCTGTGATTTTTCCTGAGCATTGTAGCATTTTAACAAAGGTTTGTTTGCAAGTTCACGTTATTTAAAGCTTGTCCTTTTGTATTATACTGTTCTTTCTCAGGAGTGTTCAAAATTAAGCTTTAACTGGCTTATCATAGCTTCATCAGTTGCACACAGATGAATGCCCGAGTTGAGAGATCGAAAGTTATGCATAGAGAACAATCACATGCACGTTGTGTTTCTACAAATCGATGATTTACTAAACTATAAAAAATAGTCCGGAAATTAAATATCTAGACAGATAAACTTGTCTATTGTTTCCGCGGGTTGGTACCTTAATTATTGCCATCAACTTTCATCACTAGGGTCCAGCCTCCTCCTCCACACCCCGATATCGCATTCATGTGAAACTAGACTTCATATTGCTCAAGTGCGATATTATTTTGCATCTTGTAAACACTAGTATTGGTTAGTGAACTAGATTGTTGTTAAAAGCGATCAAATATGAATGTGAGCTTAAAAAAATGGATATGAGCGATCAAATTTGGATGTGACTAGAAATACTAACAGGGTAATGATTATCGTTACAATTTATTAATTACCTTCCCACAATTTGTCTGTAGTAGCCCGACAGCAGCAAGAACAATGCACAAACCCTGTATAGTTTTATACTATCATGCTATTTGTAGTATTCCATGAAACCTGCATGGGATACTTAAGAAGATCGTCCCAGTTAATAGGCCCCGTTAACATATGGAATGTTCCAAGGTTATTAATGGCATTTTCATAAAATACGCATACCTAAAATTGTGTGTTGCTTAATGCGAAAAGTTATAGAGCTTTTTATTGTCTACAAATATGCGCATTTGTTTACTATAAAATATTTAGACCTATCGAAAGATTAGAATTTAAACAAATTCTGTCATGGATTGATACATCTTTGACTGCCTTATGAAATGTGTGCTAGTTATTTTCGTGCACGTAAAGCTCTGCATGGTCTCCCTTGGGTCGTAATTGTAGTGAAAAAAAGTCATTTCCACGGATTAAAAATAGTATACGGATGTTATTTTGTCCCTACTGCTGGTTTTAAATCAGTCGTGGTTAAGTGCACACACACGCGTCACAATATTATAATCACAAATCCAACACCTTGACCTGTTCACAACAATTTCGACCAAATTGAGCCGAGTTTATTATTGGCCCGTAGCTAGAACCTTAATATGGCAGGGCAAATATTTGTTTATTTATATTCATGTCCAAATAACCTTAAGTCAAAAGAAATAAATCTGTTGGCCAAAAGACAAATATAGGAATTTTTGCCCCATGCCATGCAATTAGGCTCCCAACTATACGGCATTGTGAGTATGCTTCCCACAGATTTCGTGCGAGACTAATGTACAAGTATAAATCCAAATGCTGGTGTGTTTTTGTTTCCCATCTGACCACAAACAGCTATATTACCGCATGTTGTGTTTCTTATATCATCGTCACATCGAGCTGAAGTGCCAAAACCAATACACGAGTCACAACTTTTGCAGTCGTTTTGATTATTTGCCACAATACCAATCCGTGCACGCACAAAATGGGTACGTCCATTATTATTGCCTACATAATTGATTCCTTCTTCGTTGCAGTTATTCTGCAAAACAGAACCATCGATAAGAGATTTCCATGCATCCCTCCCGACACTTGTGCTTTTAAAACTTCCATCTCCGATGACGTTGTATAACGACTTTGCGGCGTAGTTCAGCGTTATCCATCTTGTCTGATTATCGACTTTCATTCCGAGGCAAATCTTGTTGAATGGTGTGTTCCAGTAGGAAGCCAGTTTTGTTTGTTTTTCTGTCAAGCCTTCAAGACCATCTTCGACTTCGTAGGCTACCTTGTTGGTCCAGTTTGAAGAGCTATAGTTGAAATCGTTCTAAAAATAAAGTTATTTTCCAATAATAACACCATTTTTTCTGCACACATGCACGTTTTCTGTTTTTTTTAAGGATGTTTACCTTATTGCCATCAATTTTCATCACTAGGGTCCAGCCTTCTCCTCCACACCCAGATATTGCATCCATGTGACAATAAACATCATATTGCTCGAGCGAGACGTTATTTTGTAACTTGTAAACACCATTAGTTAGTGAACTAGATCGTAAAGAGATCAGATTCTTAGCGACTTTATATATTTATTAGGATTGATTTGTCTTGTCATTTCAAAATTTAAGTTAACTCAAAAACCATTAACACGCGGTGCCATTATTTGCTAACGATTATCATTTTCATAGAAGCGAAAGCGATAAATCTATTTTATTAGAGGGACATTAAGCTATTATCATTTTGATATAAAAAAATCCCGATGCTGCATTTTCTTTCATTAATTTCAATTACATTCTGCGTGAGTACCTTACCTGTCCCACTCCTGTAGTTCTTTACAAGATGCGAGAACTGACACTGCTGAAAAGGAAAACATTGCTCTCTTACTTCATAAATCACATAGGATAAAGTAAAAGAATTTCGAAATAAACGATTTTCGAGTTCAAGATTACTGTCGAACATGTTGATGGTATGCCTAAAAATTTGAAAAAGAGTTTTCTGCTTTGCCTTCGATAAAAGAAACAAATTATGGTAGCTGATCCTATTGCTATCAGAACGAAAGAGGTTGTTTAAATATAATTTTTGTTAATATATATGTTAATATAGTGTTAGGTTACTAGTATCACACACTGGTTGTTATCAGACTTCATAACGCTTACCTGCTGATGAGGTTTTTTTGGTCGGAGCGCTTGTAGGTGGGGGAGCGTCTAACGGTTTCTAAAAAAGATATTACTTTAATTCCGACCATATACACCCCAATAATCCCCGTGATTAAACGAACGTATTTTTGTTCATGATAAAATATACTTATAAGTATATTTTATATAATATACTTATAAGTATATTTTATATACTTATATATAAGTATATTTTATAACAGAAACATGGGGGTTATTGGGGTGCTGGTCAAAATTTGACAAGAGGAAGTACAAAATGTATACCAGAAGAATTATTTTCGATTAATGTCTGATAAAGAAATAAAGGTGTTGCATTTTGCTATGTAACGACGAAAATAGGCCACAATATACTAGCTATATAGGCTAGAATTTCATAATGACTTCAAGGGCAGAACTGTTTCATTCGTCCTCGCTCAGCTTTTCATCGTTTCACAGATGAGCAATCTATAAAAGCTTCAGTGCATTTCACAAAAGGGTCTTGATTTTACATAAGACAATCGCTGTGGACCACCAGTGGATCAATATAATCTTTCATGGGTACTGCATGATGTAGCGCTTGTCAACAACTAAATTATTATGATTGCATGCATGCTTGAGAGCACCTGCATAAAGACTGATCTTCGGCCATTTATATCACCTTAAGAATTGGCCAGTTTATAGCTAGATAACTCATTGAAGAGAAAAGAGAATTCCAGGAAACAGCTTGTATAAAACGTGTTTTCTAGAACGAAAACGAATTTGATTCCTCCGATAAAGCTGATATTGAAGAGTGAGAAGCGTTGCCTCTTTAATATAACTCAATGTCTATATAAACACCTCAATCTAAACACACTTAAGTTTAAAAACAGGTTATAAATTAACCATTACTATTAATATATTGGATGAATCACCAAAGCAACGCGGATAGCTTGTAATAGATAATTACTTACAGTGTTGAAATATTTTTATTGCACATCTAGAGGTGTTTTAAGCATCGCTTATTTTGAATATATACTTGTCAATCGGTGGCATGAAAACAATCCTAAACCTTTATATTTTAAAGCTATAGGTAGTCATCATTACAATGCATTGCGGGAGTCGAACGCAGAAATTGAAACTGACTCGGAAACGCACAAATTGATGCACGGATAGTTTCCTTTCTTGTAAGCAATAAAGTTTAAAAATCAAATTATAAAACATTGTCCAGTGATTAAATTTTATGTGCTTTGCTTAAAGATTTCAGCCTTAACAATTCTACAAATATTCGACGAAAAATATTGCTCTAATTTTCTCAAGTTCTGTGGAAACGAACAAATTAAAAATACAAAAAATTCGCTTTCTTGCAAACAACGAAGTTAATGTAAGTGAAAATAACACTAACACTCTGAGTTGAGCAGTACATAGCCTAATGATCAAAATTTTCTTCTTTGGTAAATTTACTGCAGGTGTTTCTGAAGCCACGTCAGCGAGTAACTCATTATTTTTGTCTTCGCTTACAATTTCAGTGTACTTTGAAGTATAGTATAACTCGTAAGAATAATATTCAATATAACCAAGGAACAGCATGGCAATTAACTGCCTAAAATAGACAAAAATGCTTCTCGACGTTTCAATCTTCGCGAGGAGAGTCACTCGTGCAGTATTCTTGTCTATTTTAGACAGTTGTTATAAAATATAGGTGCTGCAGGTGGATATTAAGTCAGCACAGCATTAAGCTGCGCCGTCTCACCGCGTCTTGACCTCGGTCTGACCTCGGTTCAACCGTGATCAGAGCGAGGATTGACCGGTTAAACGCGGTTTTTGTTAAGTTATTTCTGTACAGTATTGTATATGCATCATCCCGCATTTTAATTATACGCTGAGCTTGCCTAATATACAAGTACATGTTCCTTAACAAATGCACTTTAAATTATAAGAAATACATGTTCTCACTTTATATAAATATAATACGTACTGGAACAATAAGATGAAGATAGTTGAATTCAGGGTTCGCTTTTTCATCAACATCGGATGTTTCTTGAGTCTTCTTGCTGTTGAGCTCGCACAAACCTTTCCCAATTCCTGAAGTTTTATAATTGATTGACGCACATAAACCATGTGCAACGCAGTGCATACCACATTCCAACTCTGAATCTGCTTGCTTTTGTTCGATGACATGATTCGCCAAGTATTTTTGTTCGTATCTACGAAAGACTGCTTGCGTTGAGCATTCGCCACCGGGTTGTGCCATTTGTGAAATGAAAATGAACGCAAAAAGGATTTCTAGTAGGTTTGCCATTTTATAGCTATCACAGGCTACTCGTATGGGTTTTTTCTTAAACCTGCGCTCCGATGTGTTCTTTAGTTCGTGTGTTGCGTGATATATCTGATGTACAGTCGTGGTCGCATTAATATAATAGTACATGGTTGCCATAGCGCTTTTTGTCAAATAGTAATTAACTTATTCCCAAATATCCACTCATAAACATCCACTCATAAAACAATATGAATTAGCAGTCGTTTCTCGAACTGCTATTTCGGTCTTTAAAATAAGTGAACAAAAATATTCTTTTTAATATCAGGGGACTTCCTGGCGACCTTGGCCGGCGAATGCAAGACATTGAATACATAGATTGTATTTTAGAAATGACAGATTACTAGTATTAGGTATAGAGTGTTTCAAGAACTCAGGATTCAAGTATATATCATTATACTTACACCTGCCTAGCACAGAAAATGCAGTGTCACTATTTTAAATCAAACAGCTAGCTGTTTGTGTTGCATGGCTGTTTGTGTTACATGGCTGTTTGTGTTACATGGCTGTTTGTATGCCTTCATATATAATTCTATACTGCATGCGTGAGTTATATTTTTTATGCATGGTATAAGTGCAGATTGTATAAGTTATTTATATTGTAAGGAAATTCGGTCAGTGCAACTTTATGATTATTTAATTGAACTCGAAACAAAAAATGCATGTCTAGTTTTTGGTGGAATAAATAGATATATTTTAATAATCGTCGACGGAACAGCATTGGAAGTAAGGTTATATAACATGTGATAATATATAGGCACTCGATAATTCTATATAGAGAGCATAAAGGCAGACTACATTATGTGGTACCGTATGAAATGCGACGCACTGAAAATGTAAGGATTTGCAACCACTGAGAGATCTGCAATCAATCACTTGACATTTCACAAGCTAGAAATAACTACTGGCCTAAACTTTGGGGGGCGGACGCTGTTATAGTTTATAGCGATACTGGAGTCTGCATTTGCATCACGGATTGCGCACATAATTTAAGGCTTGATTTAAGTCGAAGCATCAATCATTTTGTTCCCACGCAGTTTTGGCCTTGGTTGGGGCTTGAATGCGAGGTAGCTATACAAGATTCACCAAATATCTATGGCTATGCAATAATATGCGTCGGAAATATAATTTCTATAATGTAATGATAGGAAACCTTTTCATTATTTGAATGGGGCAATTACAGTTTACTTATAGTCTACTGCTTTTGTAGTCATGTTATCTTTTTTGTGCAATGATCATTATAGTTATAGTTTAAGCGTAAAAACATTGCAGACTTCACGTATAACTGCATACGCGGACTTTTTTATTGTCTGTGAGTTCAATTGTTTTATAGGAATGAGATTTTATGTATATAGTTGATTATACTTGAATTTGCAGTGAAACATGGAGGGAAGTATGCTTTGCGAGTGATGCAAAAACGCTTTTGGTAGTGCATTAATTTTATTTTGAACCAGTATGTATCTTTCGACCAGTCAGTTTTTTATATTTGCCTAGAAACTCTTTTTTAAAGGTACATTATATATGGTGCGTCATATCCTAATCTATTTGAATATTGAAATTTCCATTTAATACTGTAGCGTATACATTATATGTACATGCATAACGAACATTCTTTGCGTGCTCTATTTTAGATCTTTAAATTATATATGCCTATATACCTATAATAGGTGGTTATACATGTAGGATATCAAAGAACTAGACTCGATATAGAAATACTATCGTAGGTTCATGTTGATGTGTTGATTTCATGAAGATTTGGTTCAACAATTAAGTTAATATGCTTCTGTGAGGCCTCTTGTGAGACTAATTTACAAGTATGAATCCAAATGCTGCAGTGTCTTTGTTGTTTAAGTTATTACAAATGGCCATATTGCCGCATGTTGTTTTTCTTATATCATTGTTACATCCAGCTGAAGTACCAAAACCAATACACGAGTCACAACTTTTGCAGTCGTCTTGATTATTTGCCACGATACCAATTCGGACCCGAAGATAGCTTGAATAAACATAGGTTTTTCCTTTTTCTTTCATATTTTTTTCATATTTTATATTAATACTAAATCCTTCTTGGTTACAATTAGGCTGCAAAACTGAACCATCGATAAGAGATTTCCATTTATTCTTCCCCACACTTGTATTTTTAAAAATTTCATTTCTGATCACGTTGTATAACGAACTTGCGGCGTAGTCCAGCGCTATCCATCTTGTCTGACCATTGACTTTCATTCCGAGGCAAATCTTGCTGAATGGTGTGTTCCAGTAGGAAGCCAACTTTGTTTGTTTTTCTGTCAAGCCTTCAAGACCATCTTTGACTTCGTAGGCTACCTTGTTGGTCCAGTATGAAGAGTTATAGTTGAAATCGTTCTGAAAATGAAATAGTTATTTCCTATAATAACACCGTTTTTTCTGTACAGTTGTGGTTTTCTATTTTTCTCTAAAGATCTTCACCTGATTGCCATCAATTTTCATCAGTAGGGTCCAGCCTCCTCCTCCACACCCAGATATTGCATCCATGTGACAATAAACATCATATTGCTCGAGCGAGACATTTTGTAACTTGTAAACAACATTTGGGAGAGATCTAGATCGTAAATAATCAGATTCTTAGCGACTTTATGTATTTATTATGATTGATTTGTCTTGTATATCCAAGCGCAATAACATGTGGCGCCATTATTTGTTAACGATTATCATTTTCATAGAAGCGAAAGCGATAAATCTAATTTATTAGAGCGACGTTTCGATGTCATTTTTACATCATTTTTAAGTTCAGTTTTAAAAGTTCCTTATTAATTAAGTGTTAGCTATCAAAATGTATGACGAAAGCTTTTCCAATTAAGATTATAATTTTGATATAAAAAAATCCCGATGCTGTATTTTCTTTCATTAATTTACATTCTGCGTGAGTACCTTACCTGTTCCTCTCCAGTAGTTCTTTACAAGATGAAGCGAGAACTGGACCAACTGTCACTGCTGAAAAGGAAAACATTGCTCTATTACTTTATAAATTACCTAGCTTAAGGTAAGGAATTCTAAACGAACATGTTGATGGTAGGCCTAAAAATTTGAAAATTAATTAACTGCTTTGCCTTCGATAAAAGAAACAAATTATGGTAGCTGATCCTATTGCTATCAGAACAGAAGAGGTTGTTTAAATATAATTTTTGTCAATATCTTGGGAAAGTTATATAACGTGTGAGGTTACTAGTATCACAAACTGGTTGTTATGACTTCATAACGCTTACCTGCTGATGAGGTTTTTTTTGTCGGAGCGCTTGTAGGGGGGGGAGCGTCCAAAGGTTTCTAAAAAAGATATCAGTTTGATTCACGGACCATATACACCCCAATAACCCCCGTGATTAGACATACGTATTTATGTTCATGATAAAATATACTTATAAATATATTTATTAACATAAACACGGGGGGTTTTGGGGTGCTGGTCAAAATTTGACAAAAGGAAGTACAAAATGTACATCAGAAAAATTATCCTCCATTAATGTCTGATAAAGAAATAAAGGTGTTCCTAGGTAAGGACGAAAATAGGCCACAATATACTAGCTATGTAGGCTTGAATTTCAAAATAACTTCAAGGGCAAAACTGGAATTCGTCATCGCTCAGCTTTTCATCGTTTGACAGATGAACAATCAAACTATAAAAGCTTTGCATGTCACAAATGGTTCTTGATTTTACATAAGACCACCGCTGTGGACCAGTGGATCAATATAATCATTCAAGGGATCCTGAATGATGTAGCGCTTGTCATCAACTTAATTACAATTGAACTATGCATGCTTGAGAGCTCCGCCATAAAGATCTTGGGCCAGTTGTATATAATATGTAGACACCTTAAGAATTGGCCAGTGTATAGCTAGATAACTCAGACTTGTAGATAATTCAAACTTTCAGAGGGAAGAGAATTCCAGGAAGCAGACTTGTATAAAACGTGTTTTCTAGAACGAAAACGAATTTGATTCCTCCGATAAAGCTGATATTGAAGAGTGAGAAACAATAAATAACCCAACAAGCGTTGCCTCGTTAATATAACTCAATGTATGTATAAACACTTCAATTTAAACACACTTAAGTTTAAAAATAGTGTATAAACTAACCATTAATTATTAACATACTGAGTGAATTACCAAAGCAACGCGAATGGCTCGTAATAATTTATGGATAATTACTGACAGTGTTGAAATATTTTTATTTGACATCTAGACTTTCTGCAGGTATTTTAAGCATCGCTTTTCGGAATATACGCTTGTGCACTCTGTGGAATGAAAACAATGCTAAACTTTTACGTTTTAAAGCAGTCATCATTGCAATGCACTGCAGCAATCCGGAGCGTGGAACGTATTCAACAGTTGCATGCATGATGATTGTGATAGAGGCAAAACAACATTTGAAATTCGTCGCCGTCATTTTACACTGCATGTGTTGTGTCTAAAAATTTGGGCCTTAACAATTCTAGAAATATTAGACAGAAACTATCGTTTCAAGTTTTTATCGGCTGAATTACGTGCATGCAGTCGGTCTTTCTTGTAAGGAATAAGGTTTAAAAGTATATAAGTGAAAAATGAACTATGCACTTTGCAATGAGTTAAGATATTAGCGAATTTGATGTATACTTACACCATTACAATCGAGCAGTATATAATGATCAAAATTTTCATTTTTAGTTAAACCCACTTCAGGTGTTTGTGAGGCGACGTCTGCGAGTAATTCACTGATTTTCTGTTTCCTCACAACTTCGGATTTTTCTAAAGTTGACAGATCTACATCCACTCTGTCCTGCACATTTCATAGCACATTCTGGTCCAGAGTTGGTCGATATATTTCCAATTAGCTTCCCGTTTAAACGATAGCCTTATAACATATCAAAAAACGTGCAAAAAGACAATAAGAATATTAAACCTTTATCCGGAAAAAATTAACACATATCCTCCAATGATGGTTAACCTTAACTAAAATTTGAAAAGATCTCGTTTTACCACAATTATTATAATTTGTTAAAAAGTAGGCCTACATACGTTACGTTAACATTTTTAAATTTAATTTATTTCTAAGTTGAATTTGTTGTTCGGCTTTAAAAATGTTCCAGGTCTTACCTTTTTTCGTTCCATCGAAACAAAAGTCAATTCCCTCTCCAAAAGTTTGAAGATTAAAAAACATCAACAACAGAAGACAGAATGTGTTGAATGCAGAAGGCAAACGGATGGCTTTTAAAGTCAATAAAAACCCACGAACCTTATCGCGAAATACTCCTGCCTTTGTTTGTTCAGATCGCGGCATTTTTTTTCATAGACCACCGTGTATGTATGTACTATATTTACTCGAGAATTCGAGCGAATGATTTAGTATATCCTTCGTAAACTGACAGGCTACTATCGCATACTTTGAAAACGAACACTCGCGTGCGTCAATGATACAGAAGTGCATTATGCATGCATTGTTAATGAAGTATTCTGTTGCGTCTGTCCTAAAGTGGAGAACATGTTTTGGCTTTAAGTGCATTATGCATGCATTGTTAATGAAGTATTCTGTTGCGTCTGTCCTAAAGTGGAGAACATGTTTTGGCTTCTCCCGCTATGTAAATTTCGAGTTATTATAATTTAGAGATCGATTGTTTTCACAGTCAGTGAATATGAAAATATTAGCATAGCGGGACAAATCGACAAGCTGGCTACGCTACTGCACGCAAGCCTCCCTTATCGCTTCATTTCATTAGCTTCATATCTGAAAGGTACCTTGTCATGACGAGCTCTGTGCTTTAGACCTCGTACAATAACCTACATGTAACACGTAATCTTCATGTCATCAGAATTCCAGGGAAATTACTCATGCGTTCGACTAAAGTCTCAAATCTATACATTAAGTCTCAAGTGCAGCGAGCAATAAATTATTTATTGGTATGTGAATAATTCCTTTGTGCATCTATAATTCTCTCAGTAAATTATATTTTGAAGAGTAGATATTATACTTCTTCTTTACTGTTTTTTCCGCTTGGCTTTAGAATGTTCAAACTATAGTTGGAATTTTCATTCCAGTATAGAGATATAAAATAAATGGGAATTTTTTACCCTGATAATGAAGAATACCTCTATTCAGCGGCGTAGCCAGCCTGACAATTTAGTCATGCTATGCTAATATTTTGTTGTTCATTGACTGTGAAAGCAATGAATTTCTAAAGAAATGAATAATGATAATAATATAAAATTTGCATAGTATGACTAAATCGTAAGGTTGGCTTCCCCACTGCCTCTATTCTCCATACATATAAGTGTTAACTGGTAACAGAATGACTGTACACTTGAGTTGACTAATTCAAGAGAGATGCAAGGGTGATATTTAATTTTGACTTATACACTGTTTAAAGCTAAGTCCCTCTTGAGTGGTAATTGTCGTGAAAAAGTCATTTCCACATATGTGAAAGAGTATCGATGTTGGGGAGCGCATTAGAGAGCGCAAATATATCTAAATTTAAGTTCAAATAAGTTTTAAAAACAATCGCTATCAAAAGAAATAAGACGAATATAGTAATATTTGCCCCTCCCCCGTCATGCAATTTTCTAACTACGGCACTGTTAATGTACTTCTCAGAGTTGTTTTTTGTACAAGTATATATCCTAATGCTGGCGTGTTTTTGTTGTTAGTCAATCGCAAAGAGCCATATTACCGCATGTTGTGCTTCTAATATCATTGCTACAACCTGCAACCTGCATATCTCGCGTATAATTTCATAACCATAGTATTTCATAACCATAGTATCACGCATAATATTAGTTGCAATCATGGGATTTTTTGTAGATACGTTCATGTCCAAATAAGCGTAAAAACAATTCGCTATTAAAAGAAATATCTGTCGGGCATAACACGCGAATATAGGAATACCCCCCCCCGCGTAATAAAGCTTCTAGCGGCACTGTTATAGTATGCTTCCCAGAGGTTTATTGCGGGACTAATGTACAAGTATATATCCGAATGCTGGTGTGTTTTTGTTTTCCAGATAGTCACAAACTGCCATATTGCCGCATGTCGTGCTTCTTATATCATCGTGACATCGAGCTGAAGTGCCAAAAATAATACACGAGTCACAGGAAAGGAAGTCGTTTTCATTATTTGCCACGATACTTTTGCGGACCCGAACATAGATTGAACCTGGCACTTCATGTGTTATATTTATACTAAATCCCTCTCCGTTACAGTTATTCTGCAAAGCTGAACCATCGATACGAGATTTCCATGCTTGCTTCGCGACATTTTCGGTTTTGAAACTACCATCTCTGATCACGTTGTATAACGAACTTGTGGAGTAGTCCAGCGCTATCCATCTTGTCTGACCATTGACTTGTAGGAGCCAGCTTTGTTTCTTTGAGAATTATTTTTTGTCTCCGCATACAACTTCAGAGTACTATGAAGTGATATAACTCGTAAGAATAATATCCAATATAACCAAGGGGCAGCATGACAATTGCCTAAAATAGACAAAAATGCTTCTCGACGTTTCAATCTTCGAAACGCGGATCGTGCAGCATTCTTGTCTATTGTAGGCAGTTGCTATATAAAATATCCACCTGCAGGTTTATATGCATATATTAAGTCAGCAGATTAAGTCAGCAAAAATATACTGAAAAAATAGCTGCGGCTCGGTTGCGAACGACCGATAGAAACGGCATGCAAAGGACCGCAAGGGAAATAAATACGTTCGCAGTGGCCGCTTGCTTCCGAACTAAATGTTATGCAGCTGAGAACGACAGCACAATAACCAAATGAAAATATTGAAATTTTTGTCAGACTGAGTTAGGCCGAGATCAAACCGAGGTTTGACCTAGGTTAAACCGCGAATTTTGTTTGGTATAATATCTGGACAGTACTGTATATGCATTATCCTGCATTTTAATTATACGCTGAGTTTGCTTCATATACAAATACATGTTCCTTAAAGATGATGTAAAGTCCGTTCTGAGCATATATTCTGCGCATAACAATGTTTGTTTACGTTGGTTATATAATCTTTACATGACGTATGCGTCGTCATAATTTTCTTATTTTCTTCTCGCTTGACCGGCTGTGATGAATATGCTTATTTTATATTATGTTTTGAAAAAATATTGTTATATTTTGAAGAAAATATAAAGCGAAGCTTGTAAATAAACCGGCCGTTATTTAAAACGTTATATATTTGTAATTGTAGGACAAGCGAGAAGGTAGCGTCTTTAGCGACAACAAATAGCCTCGCCATTTCGGGCCTCATTCAACAAATAAATTCTTGGAGCATTCCTTTCAGCATAATATTGCTTTTTTTCTAGCAGCCTTATGATATGATAAGTTATCGTCGTGACTCGCAATTCGAGCCTCTTCGCCTTGCGACATAAAATAAAATAATTGTGCTCCCGAACTGCTGTTTGTAATACTACGCGCTCATATCGCATATCATTAACATTCCAAAAGTTGCTCCACCACTGATGGAATGTGTTGATGCGCGGAATATATGCGCAAAACGGACTTTACCTCATCTTTAACAAATGCACTTTAAATTTTAAGAAACATGTGTTCTCACTTTATATAAATATAATACGTACTGGGACAATAAGATGAAAATAGTTGAATTCAGGGTTCGCTTTTTCATCAACATCGGATGTTTCTTGAGTCTTCTTGCTGTTGAGCTCGCACAGACCCTTTCCAATTCCAGAAGTTTTATAATTGATTGACGCACATGAACCATGTACAACGCAGTGCATACCACATTCCAACTCTGAATCTGCTTGCTTTTGTTCGATGACATGATTCGCCAAGTATTTTTGTTCGTATCTACGAAAAACGGCTTGCGTTGAGCATTTGCCACCCGGTTGTGCCATTTGTGAAACGAAAATGAACGCAATGATGATTTGTAATAGGTTTGCCATTGAACACATTTCGGATGTTAATCTGATTATATGTAAATTGTAATTTTCACGTATTGTAGCTACCACACGCAACTCATAGCGATATACTTTTTCTTAAACTTGCGTGCCAATGCGTTCTTCAGTTCATGTTTTGCCTGCTTGTATCTGATGTACAGTCGTGGTCGTATATATAATATATAGTTACTATATACCACTTTAATTGTTTTACGGAATTCGATTATGTTGCACGCAATACATGCAATATAATTAAATATTATATCTCAACTGTAAATCATCCAATCAGAAAGCTCGATTTGTATCACGTGATCAGTAAGTTAATACGACTCGAGGTTGTCAACAATTTCAAAATGGAGGCAAAAGAAGCCATTTCACCCAGCTTTTGCGCTGCCTACACGTTGTTTCGATATAAACAGGGCGAAGCCCTCGGGATATATCTTCCCTTGGGGGTAATATTTCGTCGAATTCCCCTCGCTCCAGGTCTATAAATGATAATGATTACATGCGTGAGTAATAGTTCGAATGACGTAATTACCAGCACTCTTTGCTAAATAAAATAATGAAACAAGAGTATTCATTGTTAGTTATGTTTAAGTACGTCATTCGAACTATCACTCATGCATGTAATCATTCTTGCATGAAAAGAGTTACGCAAGAGCGGAGTAAACGGTAAAAAAGTCCAATTTTGAAACGTCTCGCGGCGGACTTAATGTTTATCAAATTTTCTGAAATTGCGATGCATTGCACAAAAGAGTCCAAGCTTTCACCTCTTCAAATGAACTTTGATTTTCAACTTTTCATTTTCTTTGCACAAGCGGTTAAAAAT